CCGCACGTGTAAAAGCTATTTTATGTGGCTCGAGACGGAAAGAGGACATTTTTGCGGTGGAACTGCAGCTGTGAGTAAAACTTGAAGTGTGTTTCTTTTACTAAAGTGCTTCGTTCGTCCTCGAGAAACCCTTCTTTTTTTTCTGCCCTCGTTTCCGCAGTTTGCTTCGTTCCTTCGAGTTTGTAAGCTTTCTTATTTGTTTTGTTTTCGGTGGAGGTCATGCTCCAGCCAAATGGAGTCGCACCCTCGTCGAACGATAGTGTGCCCCGATCGCTTAGCACGCGATTAGGTAGATGTTGCTCCCTCTCTGGTGCCGGTCGATCGTCGGCGCAGGCCGCGGTGACGGCGATAAGCGAACTGATGGTTACGGGGTCAGTGGAGGCGGGGTCTACCTCGAGGTTCGGCGTACTAGTGCCGCTTACACAGTCGTCTTTCTCTCGGCACTTTTTTTTTATTCTTCTCTCATTACCGGCTCCTTCCTTCCAACTCTCCCTCGGCTGCCTGTCGGCGCTCGAGTCCTGGGTCTCCGCCTTCCCTCGTGACCCCCCCGACGACTTCAACCATTGACGGCGCAAGGGTCGCGCGTCGCATCGGCGTGTTTCACAGCGTCGCCGTCGTCGTTCTCTCGGCGCTCTCTCCCTACCCCGTGTCCGGGGTGAGGCGCGCGGGTGTGGTGCCCGAACCGCGCGAGCCAATGCCGTGTGCGACTGGACAGCTGGCCGGTCGCGCGTCGATTCGAGCCCGCTCAGTTGGGGCTCCGACACCACGAGGTTCGTGCGCGTTTAGTGGTCGCCTCAGTCGATCGTCCATATTGCCGCCACACCGATTCGGCTGGCGGAAGAAGTCGCGTCGGTTTGGGCCGCTCCGCCCGTCCCTTCCTCGATGCTATGGTTGAGAATGTGGGTGAGTCCTGATGCACGCAATTCTTTTACGTAGGCTCGATGTTATCTTGAAGCCTGGTAGGAATTGCATTGGATATGTGTATTTCACACGTTCCACGTGCTTATTCAGTTATAGAGACTGTGTATGCCTAGTGAATCTACTTGACGACTGTAATCATGTTATCAGCATGCAACTGCGTCTCATTGGTGCGTTTTTGTCTTTTCGTGTTGTGTGTGCTGTTGTTCGGTAAGCCGGAAAAGGGGGCCCGTGAATTGTTTCAAAAGCAATGCAAACTTAATAGTGAAATTATTGTCGGAAAGAAGGATGATGCGGATGGCCAGGAACCATTAATAATCATTTGTCGAACAAAAACGCGGCTTGCGACGTAAATGGGTCGTAAGATGGGGCTCGTTGTACGCACGAGTTCTTTCTTTATTCAAGAAGAATTGATCCGGGTGATTAGCTCATTGACTACCGCTTGGTGGTCGGGCGCTACTTTTCACGTCACGACTGGCGTCTGTAAATTGTGGTTTTTTTTTTTCTACTTCGTGACGTCGTTGTGTGCTCTAACGGAGCTTTTCCACGAGGCTGACACGTTGGATCATTTTTCTTCGACTTTCTGGCGGCCTTCTTCCTTACGACTTGCTCACCTGTGTGACATAGGCGACCTCCGCGGCCACCTTTAAGCGCAGGGGCGTAAGCGTAATAACGGCGTTCGGCATGTTCGTATCGTCATGAAGGGGGAAAATAAAAAAAAAGGCACCCATGAATGGGGCTTTGCGTGCTGCAGAGTTATTCGGGCGACGTCTTCTTAAAGCCTGTAATTTGACCACCGGCAGAACGTGAGGTTCATATACAATGCGGAATATTCTTTTCTCCGAACTTGGTGCGTTATTAGTCACGTTTAGCTGAAAAGAATGTGCAAGGCGCAAAAGCTAAGACTAATTGTTTGCCCAGGAAGCAAGCCCGCTTCAGAATATCGCCGCGTCCCGTTCATGTTAGTTGAACACGTGCTGATTTAAGTACTTATTTCGATACCAACTTAAAGCAGCCGTGATTACTGCTTTTCTCGTATTTTTTTTCTTACTGCTAAATGTTGCGCGCTCCGTAGTCAAAAACGTGTCCGTTGTTACCGCTATATCATTTTCTCTTACGTTTTAGCATTAAATTACTAATCTTATAATAAACCTTCACTTGAAAAGAAATCACTGTAGCATGAACATGTCTCTTTTCTCGTGGTGTTTAAATGATTTTTTAAATATAACGGATACTTAGCACGCTCAGTAGAAACAGCCGGAGGGCTTTTTAAATGACAAATTGTTAATACTGGTAAGCATCTCGCACATTGAGCGGCATAACATGCAGCTCGTGTCCCTTCACTCCCTGATTGATTGATTGATTTGTGGGGTTTAACGTCCCAAAACCACTATATGATTATGAGAGACGCCGTAGTGGAGGGCTCCGGAAATTTTGACCACCTGGGGTTCTTTAACGTGCGCCCAAATCTGAGCACACGGGCCTACAACATTTCCGCCTCCATCGGAAATGCAGCCGCCGCAGCCGGGAATCGAACCCGCGACCTGCGGGTCAGCAGTCCCTTCACTCCCTGGCAAGGACAAAGCTAGTCTTCAGATTTTGAGATACGTACCCTGGACTGTGGATAAAACAGGGAGGAAGGAGAGGAGCAGAAATAGGTGAATAAATGCTGTAGTTTGTACTAACAGTGTAAAAAAAAAACAATAACGACTGGAAAACGTGGAAGGAATGGTGGATGTCACGTCCTTCTGCGTGCAGACACCAGCCTAGTTTGCGCTGTTTTCGAGTGAGAGACCTACGGTGGCTTCTTCCCGGTTCAAGGCATCGCAGCACGGTTTGTGGAATGCAAAAGCCCCATACCCTCTCCCCCCAAAAAAAATAAAGGGGGGGAGAAAAATACAACTGCAGCGGCCTTAAACCTTTTTGTATTTTTGTAATTCCACAATTAGGCATTATCATGTGTTTTTCTCATTTATAGTTGAAATAATTTGTCATATTCTTGATAATGTGCATCTCGTGTAAGTAAAGAAAAATTAACTCTAAGTTATGTTGCGGCACAGTGCTCTGCATCATTGCACAAAGCCAACCTCTCAAATTTGGATGTCAATTTTGTTCGGTTTTCATTATTACACTGAATAATCATACAGCTTCAACCATTAAGAAAGTAAGCTCATATGGTTCACTGGGACTTATGACTCTCCAATAATTAATGCGTACTGACTCAGACTCAAGCTTGCCTAAATTGATTTAATTGATATGTGGCGTTGAACATCTCGAAACCACCATGTTATTATGAGATGCATCGTAATGGAGGGCTCCGGAAATTTCGACCTACTGGGTTTCTTTAACGTGCACCCAAATCTGAGCACGTGGGCCTACAGCATTTTCGCCTTCATCGAAAATGCAGCCGCCGGAGCCAGGATTCGATCCCGCGACCTGCGTGTCAGCAGCCGAGTGCTTTAGCCACTGAACCGCCGCGGCGGAGCCTCATCAGTATTGTCACTCACCCGGACTCATTTAGACTTACAGCCTGATCTTACTCCGAGTGAGTGTGTGTGAGTCCACTCATGAGTGAGTTTTCTCACCTAGGAGCAGGATTAGCCGGAATATAATGTAACGTACCCATCATACTCCTCTAAAACAACAACAACAACAACAGCAACAACAGCAACGGTGATGACGACGACGACGACGACGACAACAACAACAACAACAACAACAACAACAACAACAACAACAACAACAACAACAACAACAACAACAAACGATTGATGATGAGTGACGAAGAAGGTGTCACATTCTATCCATCACGCATTCCAATAAACCAAATGCAGCTATCCTGTGTCCCGATGGTTCGAAACAGTTCCGTGGTATCTATACGCGTCGACGCGCTAATCTCGGTACCGGGAGAGGACCATAATTCACCGAAATCGATCTTTGCCTCGCACCGCAGATCTTTGCCTCGGCAGCAGCAGCAGCAACGGCGGACAATCCTTGAACGAGAGACCTTGTCGCGAGTCCAGCGGTGACGTGACGCGCACATTCCAGAGATGGGCGCATTTCCTATTCTGGCCGAGAGGAGATGGGGAGGGTAGCTGTGCTGTAGGGGTCGAAGTAAGGGTAGGGGGGGTGGAAGCGAGCCGGCATCAATCTTTGTGACTTTCGGAGGTGCGCGCTCATTCTGATTGTTCTTTCCTTGCGCACAGGAAAAGAGCCACGCCCACCTGCCCGCCACGACAAGCCCCAGGCGGCTAAAAATACCGCGCGGTCCATCGCATTACGATATCGCGATGATTACGTCCCTCGTAAGCGCGCGCGTGTTTGGCTTCGCCTTCAATATGTCACGCTGTTTGCGTCACCGTCTATCTCGCTGGAACAGTGACAGTGAAGTCGGCCTTTGTTTACGTTCCGACATGTGCATAGTTTCGATGCTTTTTATAGATACAGTCTATTTCCTCGCCCTATTTCTTTTTTAATGTGCGCATTTCTATATTATTACGCATTTCACCGAGAAATGAAATCGAACGCGGAAACCCGCTGAAATGCGCCGTGTTCTGGTCACAGGATTGGACAAAAGGTCCACAGGAGTTGGTTTTGTGCACAGTGAAGGAATTTGAAAAAAAAAATGTCTTGCTAGTAGACTTCCACCGACGTTCCGAAACAAAGGCTGCTAATAACACGTTTCCGATGAAAAAACGTAAGTAGTAAAAAAAAGCCAATCTGTGCAACCATACAGCTACCAGATCATTTGGGTCACCTGAATACTGTATTTACTTGCTGATAACCATAACTCTTCAACGCTGAATATCGTTGTTTGGCGTTGGCGTTGCTCAATATGGCTAAACAATTGCTCATGTTTCCAATTACACAATACAGCAACAATGTTGCCTTCAATAAATCTTATTCGAATAATTTAGTTGTGTACCGATTGTTCTTTATTGACTCGTCATCCTCGTGACATCGTGACCTGTCAGTTGGGACAAGTCACATATGAAATTCGGTTGGTAGAGACAGTAAATAGCGGTGATTTCCTGTTTGACTAACGAGGGCATTTTTTTTTTCGTTTCTGTTTCATCCTACAGATACCAGAATGTTGGAGGGGTGCGGGAAAGTAGTCAAGTATGCACTCTTCGTCGCCAACTTCATCATCATGGTGAGTATAGCATCTCTAAACCTACTGAAGCTTTTTAGATAGCGCTGGTTTATCTTTTCACCGTATGCCTAAGACAGCGTTGCAATGGCTATGGCGGGAAGCACACTTGATTCGTGCGGTAATCGTGAATGAGATATCTTTTTTCTTTGTTGTAGACGTATATAGTAGCGTTCGTGCAGCCATTTTGAAAGTTTTCAAGACCTTCACTGAGAGATGTCTCGCTAGAATCACCTACGTATACTAATGAACGTTAGCGCTGTATACTGTATATCTTAAGGCATTTAAATGTTCATAAAGTCAGATGGTCAGATTTTTACAAATGTTTAAACAAGACTTGCTGTGATTGTATAGACCGAAAATTCTCGCTGGTGTGTGCATTATTGTTTTTTTATGATCATTGAGCTTTCTACGCATAGGGCGTCGGAGCACTCCTAAATGTGTAAGTTTGTCAGAGTACATCAGACAAGGATGTTAAAGGGTGTTGCTTCCGGGACTTCGTAGTTGCGAAAGTTCTTCGGGGATGCTATAGAGAGTACGTGGCCTCACGGAAAAGTTTGACCGACTCTAAAGAAACATCTTGCAAGCATTAAACAAATCCAGTAAGCGAAAGCACGAACGAGAATGTCCGCATTTTGCCCCTGTAACGGTGTCTTCGTTGCAGAGGCTTTCTCCGTGCCTCGAACCGGAAGGACGCACGCAAGCGCGTCTCGAGGCCTTGACTGAAAAAAAAAAAAAAGAAGTTGAAACGAAAGTAAAAAAGAAAGAAAACTAAAGGGTGAAAACTGGCTGGCTGCGTTTTCTCCTTTCTCACACAGCCGGCTTCAGCTTCGCATCAGGTAGGGGAGAGAAGGATGAGAAAGAGAGATTAGCGATATGTGTGCCGGATTCCGTTTCGCCTCAAGGGTAAATAGCCACAAACTCGGCACTTTATTCGGCACCCTCCCACGTAATAGAGTGGCGCGACGAGCGATTTTTCTTGCTCAATTTCTATCCTTGCTATGTGACGACTTATTTTCGCTGCAATACTCCAGGCGTTCTACATCGTCGCTTCCTTTTAGTTTTCTTGTTTTCAAGCTTCCACTGTTTATCTGCACCCTCCTTTGCTAGAAAGCGTTAACCTATAGACAACTCCCCCCTCGCCCCCCCCTCTGACCTTCTGCCTATATTACTAAGCTTCGAGTAATTACTATTCCTGAGAGACAGCTCAAGAAGCGATGGCACTGCAGGCCCACCTTGCGTCATTCTTGATGGTTGGTGTGTAGAACTTTTTTTCGTTGTTTTTACTCTACTTATTGATAAAAAGGAGGAATGACCTTTCTTTTATCGCTGTAGGAGCGACAAGGCCGCACTCCACTTTTGCCATCTACCAACCAAAAAGAGAAAAGGAAAAAAAAGAACAAAAACCGATTAAGTTGAAAAGAGAGACGTGTAAAAAGTGTTGGTGCGTTCTCGAAAGTATAAAGAAACTAAATAAAAAAGCAATGAACAAGAGAAGGATATATGCATGTTCTGATGTTTTGGAGGAATGCCTGCGTCATTTCGTGTGCGTGCGCGGATTAATTTTTAAGCCGACTGACCTCCCTGGAAAACCTCTCAAGCTTTCTTTTTCTTTTTGAAGTTTTCCGCGCCTTCTGGCACAGCTCGTGGCATTCGGTGAAGGTTAGCAACATCTGCCACACACATCGTCATCGCATACACTTAACTATTAATCAGTTATTGGTCGCCCCGCGAAGGCTGTGTGTAGGTGCAGAATGATAGAATGCATCGTCAATGAAAGTCGGGATTATCCGGATGCCTTTCTCTGCTTGATTAACGTACGAGGATAACACGTGGCCACTCCATACCATAAAGTATATAGCCGAGGTTACGATCGTGACAAACGCCATCGGTATGACTGGACAGTGCGCGATGTTCTGAGGTCCTTGGTTCGACTCCGGTTTTGAATCAAGGCAATGGAAAGGTGAAAAAAAAAACGTACAAATCACCTTAGCGAATGAATTGACCCTCGTAGAGTAATGAAAGACTTAAAAAAAGAGGGTACGCCTTGAGAAGCGATTATTACTATTGAAGACAAAATAATATAAAACGTAGATTTCGTACTTGAGCTACGCGGCCAGTGTTGTCAAGTGTAGAAGTTGTGTTTGCAGAGGTACAATCCACCGAGAAATGTTGGACTCAAGAATATAACATGCTCTAACCACGTGGTAAGGAAAAGTAATGTGAGGAAAATAATACTATTTAACGATGTAACAACTAAGTGGATATGACAATCTTGCAGTGAAGCTCAGACTGTAATCACTGACCTCCGATCATCGATTTCAGTTTCAATAGGACAACAAAAAATACAAAAAGAGTGGTAGTTATTTAGAGCAACACTCGGAGATCTCGTTAGAACGTTTGCAGGAATTAATAACTTGCGATCGAGTGCAATGTTAAGCTAATATGCAATCCTCCCAGTTGCAGTGAAACGTTAACGCTATGTGGTCCATTTGCACGACTTCAAGCCTGGAGATATCACCTTCCCCTCAACGCGCCTGCACATTTCATAAATATATAACTCGGTCTCCGTAGGCGCAGCCATTACAACTTCGCGCATTGCAGCGCGCGCCGCGCCTCTTGGATGGCCGCTGCGGCATAAATAAAGCACGACAGTGTAGTATGTCAGTTAATAAAGGTCAGCCACGGGCGGCACTGTTCTTCCGAGCGACGAAGGAAAACTTGCCCTTTTGAAACGCCTTATGAAAGAAGCGAAGCCCTCGTCGAAAAGGCGAATCTGGAGAGAGGCTTGGCGACAGATGGTAATGAAGGGGCTGTGCGAAAGTGAGAGAGACTACATATGGCGCACTGGAACCGGGCCGAGCCCCGCACGTGGTAGAGGAGGATCGAGGACGCGTAACTTCGAGGTTTCGGCGCGCGGAGCACAGCGAGCCGTGGCTATAAGAGCTAGTGGCGGAGATTCGACGACGAGGGCTGAGTGAAAGTGAAAGAGAATGAGAGAGAATGAGAGAGAAAGAGAGAGGGGAAGTGTTACGCGCGGATGTGGTCCACACGACGCGTGCTTCCCTTTTACTTTGGGTGTGGTCCCCGAGCCGACCTAGCTGGGCCCGCCGATCCCGGGCAAGGCGGCATTAAAAATGAAGCGACGGGGGTCCCGGGCCCGTCTTCTTGCCTTTCTTCGTCCTCCGCCGGTGCCCCCGTGCTCTTTAGACGGGGCACCTCATAGACCCAAAGCAGGGGACGATCAGACGCCAACGGTCCGAACCTGGGTGCTATGGCCTCTCCGTTGACTGTAATGGGGCGTCTATTGAATCTGTGCCACCCGTTGCACCTAACGATGGTGCTCGCTGGTGGGCTGTTGAGTAGCTGCGAGTGAGGAAAAAAAAGGGAGGGAGGGGGAGCGAGAAGCCACAATGTGGTCTTTAGGGAACAAACACCATTGGGACCGATTACTTAGGGTACTAGGCAAAACTCTTCGTGCCACCGTTGAACGATAGTGCGGGGAAATGACTGAGAGAGAGACAGAGTGGTTAGCATGGGAACGACAATGTTTGCGGAAGAACATCACCTTGATGGTATACTACGTCCCATCCTTCGGTTGGCTTTGGTCTCCCTCGAAGGGAACACGAAACTATCATCAAACTGTCACAACAGCTAGTTGCGAGTAATCAGGCACACATTTTTGATGCCGACATCGACTGTACGTTGAATCTATCGTGGAAGTCCCATTTATTCGGACTTTACAACAATTGAAGAAAGGCCCGGCAGTTAGAAATGTTAGGCTACAGAGCTGCAGATTGTGTGACTACGGGGCATGATTATGGGAATGCAGAATGTACGACTGCATGCAGTTCATAATATTTTTTTTATTTTAAATCAATTTTAGCACTGTTAGATATGACGATACAATATCTCCGTAATAAACATGATTAGTAAACTGCCACAACCGCGAATTAGCATCGCAGTGGCACCATCAAGAATACAGCAACAAAAGATAACGCATTTAATTTTGGCAAAAAATTGCCATCATTTTACACGCTCGTACGTGGTGGGTAAACAATTATAAGAAAAAAAGTAGACCGTGACTGCTGTTGTTCAGCGTTGCGTAAATTGGGTCACTGAGTCAGACGCAAATATTGTCCGTGTACAAGGATGTACGAAATGCTTAGATGACGGAATACGTGAAACCAAAGGCAAACGAAATTCGCGCTATAAAAGACGTACTCACTTTATTCCGGTATATCACGCGGCAGTCTGTGCGTGAAGCGCCAAGGTCACTGCGGGCGCGGGTCTTTTGTACACCACTTAGGATAAGGCTCGAGGACATTTTGGAGTGGCATGGAAAGTATTGGCTAATTGTGCCCATTCTATTCTGCTCTGTTTCAATCAGCGTGACGTTACTCATACTCAAAATAGGGAAGGTTGCCCGCACAACTTGAGTCTAGGGCTTACTACAGAGGAGTTCCACTACAGCACCCAGCTTTAAGCAGCTTGTCGTTTCGTTTAAGTTTCCTTCGGGAACAAATTTTCAGACGTACCAGCTATTTCTGCTCTTAGCAGCAGCAGGAATTCGGTCAATTAAAGTGAATGGCATCCTGCCGTGACGAACACAACATGTAGGTCATGGTAAGAAAGAACGGCTTTCCAGCAGCTATAGGGCTATATCCAGGCAGCGTGAAAACTGCACAAAAAAAAAATTAACGACAGGGCCCACAGTCTTTATTGCATTAACTGTTTCGAAGAGTACCCCTTTGGGTGATAATTGCACAATGACAAACAAATCGAACACACAAAAAGCACAAGCGCATATATATATATATATATATGCTATAAAATAGTTTTGCGTGTTTTCTTCTGTCTTACAAATCAAGTCAAAACTATTTGAAGCGGTTGCCGATAAAATAGTTCTGCTTTTATATAGTTTGAATGTTCTATAGATCTCATCGCGCCCTCCTTTGCTCAAATCACCACCCAGGTTGGCGGAGTGGTGGTGTTCGCGGTGGGAATCTGGACCCTGGCCGACCGGTCCTTCATGGAGCGGCTCCTGGGCACGGACCTGTACGTCAGCTCGGCGTCCATCCTCATCGCCACCGGGGTCGTCGTCACGATAATCTCCTTCCTCGGCTGCCTCGGCGCCTTCAAGGAGATCAAGTGCATGCTTCTCACGGTAGGTTTTACACGCCTTGAACATATAGCACAGTGTCTGAATGCTATGATGAAGCGTTCGTAACACTTACTCTATAATGTGAAGCAAGATCTTCAGCATGTGGCTTTAGAGTGCTTCATCGAAACATCTCAACGGAGAGAGTTTCGCAGGGTTATCAAACCGGGTTTTGTTACACACTATTGCTCGTTTAGCTTCAAAATTGCCATTGTTTTACTAGCTTGAAGCGGAGGAATACTGCCTTTAATGATTTCGAGACAAAAAAAGTTGTACCAATACTTAAGGGAGGCCACTGAGTGAAGCCTATAGCGCGTTGGTTAGCGTGAGATGGTGTTTATTACCTACGGTCAGCCCTCTTTCTCTACGCTAATCTCCTTAACGCATGCTTAGACATGGCTCCTTTATAAAGTATTTCGCGATGTTGTCACATAGGGCACTTATTATTAAGCGAATTCGCCACAGTTATTTTTCCAATACGGCATCTGTTTTGTTTTTTCCGTGTTAGATAAGTGGCATTCGACCTTGCGTCAAGTGCTCAAGTGTTTTTTTTTTTTTGTGCACAGCGAGTAAATTATTACCTATTTTTGGCTTCGCCTCGAGCAACTCTGCGTGCATGTAACACAATGACAGTGAAACGTCGTCACGCCACGCTCATACGACTCCGTGGCCAGTGGTCTTTCATCGAGCGGTATCGCTCGATGAAAGACTCCGTATCGAACGCGTCTTCTGCGTATCCGACAGAAATCGAGTTTGATACGGAGTGACCTCGCTCGTGACTTGGCAAAAAACGGGGTGCATCGTCCTTTGGTGCCCCGCTGTTCTCGACGTCGTCGTTCCGTTTTGAGCGTTGGGCGCGCGAAACACTTTTGCGGCGGAAAGTGGTCGACCAATGGCCGCGCTCGTCGGAAATACTCGGGACTTCAACGGTATGGCATCGACCCGCACCACTGAGAGGTACTTTCTCGGAATGGTGGATGCATATTGATCTGGGAATGTAGCCGGAACGTGGTGCTCACAACGCTCGTTGTGGCGGGGGGCGGGCGCAGGGGGGGGAGGGGGGGGGACTGTAGCACGCTCGATCTCGTGCATGCAGGCTGTGTTATTTCGTTGTACCTTTGTCGACATGGAAACCGAATGCGAGACGCGGTCAACAAATGGCCAGTGCGTGCAAGGATTTCTCGTGTCAATAACCGTCTTCCTTCTCATCGTTTTCGCAAAGCAAGCGACCGATTGAATGTTTGCAGGCATTCTGCGGTCGTGCATTATTATGAGCGACGCCAGAATGTAAACAACGAGAAACGTTATCGACCTTGAAGATTTTTATCCAGGAGAGAGAGAAAGGAAAGCGAAAGGCAGGGGGGGATAAGAAAGATAGGCTCGGTTAGGGCAAGGGGTTCGTTGTAGTTACCTGCAGGTGATTTGTTATAGATGGTTGGTCGCAAAAGGAAACCAAGAGGAAAAAAAAATGGGCGATCATTTCCGTCTTGCTTTTGTGGTATTGCATTGTGTAACAAAAGTTGGAATGGGTTAGTGGTCATTCACGCCCGCTGAAGGCAGAACAATATACACCCCGACCGATTATATCAGTTGAACCTTTATTTTTTCTGAATTACTGTGCTGCTCATGCACCCCCCCCCCTTTTTTTTGACGTCAGTTCCTTGATTAATAACGTGATTGAATCAGTGACAAAATACTTTATTTTTTAAAGCTGGAAATAAGCCTATTTGAGTTGGATGACCGCACATGCACACATCATTCGTAATTTTGAAACGCGTGATCATATAAATAAGTCCAATATGACAGCAACAGTTATGGCTTTGTACAGTAAAGTGTAAGAGTGCGCATTACACTTTAATCATTAACTTCCTCGTTGAATGGACCTGAGAGTTAATAAAGATATAGCGTATGACAGTACCTCGTAATGTTTATCAGTACACGTTGTGTTACACCGTTCATTAGCGTACTGTCGCACAAGATGTTTCAGAATAAGAAACAGTGTGCAACAATTGAAAAGTTGTAATGTGACTTGGTGAAATTTTCATGGATGTCTGCCTAATGAGCACATACGCGTTTTCTTCTTATTTTGCTTTGCCAAAATGTCGGTCGTCTTCCGTTGTTAACGTGTTTCATTTTCATTTCTTTACAGTACTTCATAATCCTCTTCATGATATTCATCACAATGCTGGTCGGAGGAATATTAGGATACGTGTTCAGGAATGAGGTGAGTAGTATAGGAGGTCATCTCTGAAAAACTAATCTTTAGAATAACGCAGTCGCTTGCAAACGTCGTACGGCCGCAAATTGGTTCTTTGTCGAGATAGCGTTTAGTATAAAACAAGCAAGCTTTATTCTATACTTGATTATCTACAAATATTTAAGTGTACGTTTGTAATAAAGTTAGCATAAAAAAGAGAATGTATTTACTGCCTTAGTCGAGAGATACAGCACTTCTAACAAGCTTTGCTCGAAAATTCTGCCTTCAACTTTTCCTCGGGTAAAAATTTTAATCCAGTGATAAAGACATCGGAATGTCATAGTGTCTGAGTGGATATAACAGCTTGTGAAAAGCTTGGATAGAAGTAGTCCCACAAAATGAAATTATGAAAGGGCGAAAGGATGCTGCATATTTTTGGCTGACCTTATGAGGTCCCACCAGATGTGAATGAATTTATCAACTAAATCAACTTCAGAAAAATATCTGTATAACCTTCTCGTACAGATAGCTTATGCCCTACATCTCATCTTGCCCAATATTCTTATACAATGTCTTTATATTTCTTCAATCTCGTTGTGCGCAGGTGGATGAACGGATGTACCAAGAAATGGTCATGTCCATTCCATCCTACAAGAACGACTCCGTCGTCACAGACGCATGGGACGCAGTGCAGCAGCACGTAAGTCAACATTTTGGCGTGTACATTCGAATCGATCATTATTACCTTAATCTGTAGAGCTCAAGGATCGAGTGGTAAGGGCTGTAAAAAAGAAGCGATGCTGTGATTAGATTTGACTTCGAAAGTCACAATTATTGTAAAATTGTTTTGTGAGGCACTGACATGGTTCCATTGGAGCCACAATCATTAATAACTCCACCAATGACATCTAAAAGACGTGTTTTACGTCATTCAACGTCTAGGCGACGTCCATTGGACGTCTATAAAAAGACATCCGCATAACGTTTAATATATGTAGAACGAATTGAAAACCAAATAATATAAAAAATCTACATTCAGAACACACTCAACCCCAATCAGTTTTCCATGATGCCCTCTGTTCTTACTTAGGAGTATAGCTGCTTTTGTTTTCAATATAAATAGCATATCTGACTGCTACGATGTGCAGGGTTTGGACTTATTATGTCCGTTTTTTTTCTTTGTTCCTGCAGTTCCAGTGCTGCGGTGTTCGACTAATGTCGAAGACTGAACCGTACCGAATCTGGCAGCTCAAGAACTCACATTTCAACGCGAACCACCAAGTGCCGGAGTCGTGCTGCATGAAAAAGGAGTGGCTTCACGCCTGCTCCAAGAATCCAACGGACAGGGACACCTACATGGACGTAAGGGCCTTTCCCATTATCGCAGTTCTTGGAGGCGTTATCTTGCATGAGATAACACCAGTTCTTTATCGAACGAATAAAATATAGTATAAAGCACTTTCCTAGTTACTGCGCTTTCAAACAGCCATGCAAAGTGAAGTACACCTGGTTGCAAGAAATTTGTTTTGACAAAATGAAAAATTCATGGTTGAATAGGACCTGCTATTGACCTCTCTCGCATAAATATATGCTGTTAGAAATATTTCAAACGAGGACGCAAAAGAATAGAACCTGTGCCATTCTGCTCTGCTATTTCCTACGAAATAAGCTCTCATTGTCTACAATGTGCGAACTGTCAGACTGTGCGACAAATCTTTGTTGCGTCATAACAAAGAAAAAGCTATTTTTATTGTTCTGCCGTAAAATATACGATGCCAGAATGGTCTCATGATTTCTTTGAAGAGTGGGTGGTGTAAAAATTCCCGTAGCCAATCTCCGCGCTTGTCTCTGGATTAGATGGCTACGGGGCGTATCATAATGACGTCAAACAGACAAGCGCTTAAGAAGTAGAACACAGATATGAATTATTGGAACTGCATAGTATTTCGAGTCTCATAAGCTTGGATACTTTCACCTATAGCTCTACGACGTCATCGTGCATTTAACATGCCAGTAGTACAGTCTGTCCATCACTTGTTAACCTTAGATGGCGAATGCAGCACTCATAGAAATAATTTATTTTATTGTTTTCTCAATCAACACCATTTACAGGGGCTCGAAAAAGTCATTTAGAGGATTTGTTGGTAGCTGTTGTGCCTGGTGAAGTTATCACGTCAATGTTGAAATTCATGACTTCGCTTTTTTTTTCCTTCTTTACCGTACAGAGCTGTCACGAAAAAGTCCGGGACTTCGTCAAAGGACATGCTGTCATTGTAGGTGGAATAGGCATCGGCATCGCCTGTCTTTTAGTAAGTGCCTGCTTATTTTGTTGCAAAGAACCACGTAATGCGACCGTGAAACACGTCACAGAACCCTACAGCTTGAATGAACATAGCGCCCTTTCTGTCCTTGTCTCTTTTTCTGTAGTTACGTCGTAACTACTCCTAATCCTGCGCTGCTCAAATATGTTGATTCCCAATCATTAACTAGCCCAAGCATCTGTCTTATCAGAATGAAGCGGAACATCAGGCAGAAATCCTATCATTGTGATTTTGGAGTCCATTTCTGGCACCCGTTATCGGTGGCCGTTATAGTTAGACTTGGTGACAAATTTCTGAACAATCGTTGCGCTTGGGGAAGAAAACGTTATACGCGAATTTGAGCTGTGGAGTTTGCCTGTGGGTGAATAAAAAACCTTCAACTGGCTTATTTTATCCGTTCGGCAAATCAGCGGCGAAAGTGCACTGAATAAACGCTAAAATGTTTTGTAGAGGGTTAACGCAGCAGCTCATGCAGGTTCGCGAACAGCCCATCTATCAACGATTTTCTTGCGTTTTGCAAGAAATGTATGTCAACTCACCGTCTAGAATCGGCAAACATGGTTATTCACTTGAAACTTCCTTGTCTAGAGAATGCAAGAAGTCCAGAAGAACGTTATAATACGCAGATTCAGTAATATATATTCCTGATCACTTCATTCAAGTTAACAGAAGAACTGTCTCAAATTACTTCATTATAATTCGTCAACATGCATATTAACACATTCCAATATAGCGGTTAGTCAGTCACAAATTCAATCATTGTGCCACACTCTGTACTTTAGATATTTCTGGCAGTACGACTACGCTTCGCGGTACCGGAAAGGTTACAATTAACGATACCTCGACTAATGTCGAGACTTGGTTCCTGGAAAATAGGACACGTGTGCCCTGTGTTACTGGATTCGGGACAGGAGCTGTACTGGCATGTGTGCCGTGGCTTCCTCTCCATGCCCTGTTTTCCACGCACTATGTGTCGCCGTGATTGTGTACCAGCTCGCCCAGTATAAACGCCATTTCACTTCCGGACACCTCAACTGCAGCGCATTGCACATAGTTTCGCGGAGGAATTTACTGTCTCGATGCTCTCTTTATGTGTGTTCTGTTTGCATCCGGAAGTGCAGCTCGTAACACTGCGTTCGCCTTCTTTGTTCTCGCTCAATCGCAGGTGGTCGGAATGGTCCTCTCGTGCGCCATGTTCCTCATGATTCGCTAAGCAACGAGCGGAGCTAATCCATGACGTCATATCCGGCGGCGACCTGGTGCCTACTCCCCGCTACAGTGCACACGCGTGTACGTGTGTGTGTGTGTATGTGCGTGCGCGCCTCGCTCCTCCTTCAACCAAAGGTGCCAACGACGGCCACCCCACGTCGCTGGCGTTGTTAAGTTTCGCAGCGGCTTCCGCACTTGGCTTTCGTTTACTGTCTAGCTCCTCCCCCCCGGTTCGGTCACGTGATGACGCAGAAGAATAGAAAGGCTGCAAGGAACTGCCGACAGGAGGGACGCTTCTAAGTGGACAATGCTTTATTTGAAGCGCCTACACTGGAATTCACCAAAAAAAATTGCTGGAGCAAGGACACTTTTAAGCAAGCAAGATACGCGTTGTTGTTTTTTTTTGCCATTCCAGTGAGAACTGCGTCATTTTATATTAGGTGTTTTTCTTTTTCTCTTGTGGAATCGCTATTACTTGCCACCCCCCCCCCCCCTTTTTTTTTTTCGCCCGCACTTCTTTATATTGTGTGGACAATTACATTTGTTGCACCTGCAGTACGGAGACACTTTCCTTTGAGACTGTCCTGCATTGTGCGATTGGTTGTGTGTATCGCTGGATCTTCAGTTCATCTTCTTGTTTCTTTTTATTTCATGCCGTTCCTGCTTATTAAGCCTTATGTAACTTATTAACTTTGTACAGCTCTCCGGACCATGCACCTACACCTCTTCAGTGGACAGGGGCAATTTTTGCCTGCGTATGTTAAATCGCATTTATACTCATGTTACATACAGAAAAATCGACATGGAGGCAGATTAGAGCACAGTGTATGCATTAAAAACTCACACACCACACACACAATTTATTATGCAGCTATGCTTATTTTTAGTATTTTTGTGTGCTGGAAATAAATCTACAATCAAGGGCTTGGAAATAAGCAAGGCACATCGAGACTGCTCTTTTTTTTTTTCTCATCTCATAAGGAACCATTACAATCGCCATCTCGCTCGTTTTGTTATTTTCTTATCATTTGAATGTGTGCTACTATCTTAAGTTTTAACTGTGTCAACCAGTGTACACGAGGCAGAAGAGAACATATCAGCCGAGAATCACTTGCCAGTGTTCGCCACAACATGGCGCGAACACGAGTAATTGTCGATTTCGTTCGATATTTGTACTTATCGAAAGAGCTTTTTCGAGAGGACTCACTTACTTAAGTTTGGACTGAATGTGTTTCTCATCTAGTCTTGCCTCTCTGTAGCATTACGAGGCATGTCTGTAGTGTTCGTCATGTTTTAACTATTGACATTTTCGCACTGCCTATGCTTTAGCTGTTTATTCGCCAACATGCGCGCATCTCATCTAAAACAGTGCACTTGTCGTTTTACGAGAAAAGAAGAATGCGTATTTTTTGTGTTGTGATGTGCCTTTTCTTTTGTCATTTAGTAGTTATGTAGCAGTAGAAAGAAACAACAAGAACGCAGCCTTACACTACACTGGGACCAACGGCACGACAATTCGTGCAGTATTCTGCCTTATGCATTCAGAGCTCCTGCACAAAAGTGGTGCTGACACATTGTACAATTACGCAAGTTTATTGTTACACAGTAAATACGTTTACAACACGGGAGCCTGTTTGGAAAGGCCCATGCAAGACATATGACACGTACAAGCGCAAAACAGAAATATTCCTCGACGCTTAAAATTTTGTTGATGCGTCTTGCATTGGTCACATTACCGCCGTACAGAAGACGGTTGTATATCTTCGTGGTTGCCCCCTTACCTAGAGTTGAAGCATAATACACAAGGACCGCTGACTCCCAAACGCACGGCGAATTCGTTATAAGCGAATTGTCGTAGTGCGCTCGAGGCATCATGGCAGGGAATGGCGTCATGGAGGAATACGAGCGTGCGTGAAGCGCGAATTTATGTGTGAATAATGTAAATTTCCTCTCCACAGACTCCTCGTGCGCAAAAAAAAAAGAAAAAAGAAATTCCTTCCCATTCCAAGACACGCGTCAGTTGCGCATGTCCTCACGATTGTCTCGTTTAAGTCAAGCCGCGGGACGAGAGATAAAATCTCGCTAAATCGCGCCCACTACCCTTCTCGATTTCGATGTGTGTAATCACCATTCGTTGCTCTTATCGTTGAATGAGATAAAAAGAAAATTTAGCGATGCTTCCCGATTGCTTCTTTGGAGGATGTCATATATTTAACTAAGTCGCAGTCTCCTCGGTAATCCCGGTCTCATGTGTTCACTGCTACTATATAAAGAAATACTAAATTTTTTGCTTGACGAAAAAATGAGGTTAAATGTACGTCCTTTATCGAAACGCTAAATGTGTTGTTTGCTCTGTGAATGTCGCTGTCTAAGCATTAAGGCTGGTGAATTTCGATGTTCATATTCCGCCACAAGATACTTCGTCCCAAATGTTTTCACCGTGTTCAAAGTGATGATAAGTGTGCGTTTGCGGTTGTTTGCGTGTGATGATTGTCGCATTGTGTTTGCTAGCCTCGCGTTTTTCGGAAGAAAAGCTATGTCATTTTGAGTTGAAATTTTATACGAGAGTTGTGTAGTGGTTTCAAGATTTTGTTTTTACGTGTTTTGTTTTGTCGAACTTCCTGTTATTTCAATTATTATGAGTGCACATGTACGCATCATCTCATTGCCGATAATGGATAAACGTAGCGTTGCTTGACACCATCAATGTAGTTTTTCTTCGTTGAGCAAGCATTTACTGTTAAGGCACTTTCCGAGAAGTGCCATTTGCTCTGTCCTTATAAGCAACGTGCTAGATGTAGAAGTTTCCAAGTGTAAAATATGTAGCTGTGCTCTACCCCCCCCCCCCCCCCCCCTATATAGCCTGACTTGTGTCTGTATTAATGATGTACCTATATATGATGTTCAGAACTTAACTGTTCGGAAAGGTGCGATGAGCGCCTTGTTGTTGTTTTTCTTTTTTCTTCTTCTAGACACTCTGTCACTTCTTGGCAATGTAAATGAACTTGCGTTGTCGTTTGAATATTTATTTCAGAAATAAACAGTTGGAAATCGCGATAGTTGTTTTGTCTGAAACCAAGAGAAATGTTGACTGGATCGTTCAGCCTGGTATTGGACAGTGTGCCATAGACTTCTGATATGACAGGAGACAACAGTAAGTGGGATAAAAAAAAGTGCTATTTAGGTTTGCTATATGTGGTCTGTTGAAAACAGGAGTGATCATCATCATCAGCCGGAACATGCTTTTTACATTATCTTCTTCATCTTTCACCCTCTGTTTCGATCCAAGAACAGACGCGCCCATTCATCAGGATGGTCTGTAATAACCCTGACGGGTGCAGGAGTAGAGCAGTGCAGACCCTTGATTGTAGGGCACAATGGGTTCACAGAAAGAAAAAAAGAACAAAAGGAAGAAGGAAATAAAGAAAAGAAAAATATTTTCGGCAAAATGAACTTTCATGAGGCGGGTTTCGAACCCACTCACCTTCGATTCGGTGGCGAGTGTCTCAGAGATAAAAAGAAAACTTTATTAGCAAGTGTGTTTGGATTCCCCGTGGTCCCTGGACCACCGAGTGATCCCACACTATGTCTACAAGGTCATGCCTCTCGCCGCGATGACATCGGCTGGTCAAGTCGGTGCAGCAAGCTGCCACGCCGGACCACTCGGCTATCCAGACACTCTTTTTCATTAATGCACGGAAGTCATTATATCAAATATATTCATATTTATTAACAAAATTCAGAGTTTCGGAATGACGCTAACATCCACGCATGCGCAAAACACAATTTTATGCAGTGCGAGGAATCTTCGTAAGTCTGGTGAACAAACACAAGCGTCGAGAGGTCCAAGCTGCCCCGGAACCAGGTTGAAAGCTTCTACTCCACTACGCACATTAGATGGTTCTTCTCCGAAAACATATTTTTTCGAGGGAAGTGGCTGTGCATGTCTGTCAATCATATGGCTCCTCCATTATGAATAGAGGTCAAATAACACGTTTGAATTGTATGGCACCTTATTGTTGACGCTCTTTTCCAACGGTAGGAACCAGGCACGCGAGCAGATCGTAGCATAACCTTGTGTGGAAAAGTGTAGCCAGATGGTGGGAAAGGGAAGTGAGCGTTAGGAGGAGGGGAGAGAGTAAAGTACAGTATAGAAAGATTGAGAAGGGTAGGAACACAGCGAAATAACTGCACAAAGAGAAAGAAAGAGAGAATCAAACGAAGAACTAGAGTGAGAGAGAGAAAAACGGAGGAAGCAAGAGAGAAAGAGAAAGAAGTAAACAAGCACAAGTGAACTGCGAAAAACGACAGAAAGAAATAGGGGGAAAATAGAAAAAGAAATAAATACAGGAGCGAAGAAATTGAAAATTGCCAGAACTTTTCAAAACGGCGAAAGCCACGATTAGATATATAATTGCCCATCACCTACGCTGCACCTTTAGTATTCCTCCTCTTGTGGTATCTATACTATTTCTTAATTTTCATTCTTTAAGTACAGGAACATAGTTTGACTCCAATAAGCATGATTGATTGAAATGTGGGGTTTAACGTCCCAAAACCATGATATGATTATGAGAGACGCCGCAGTGGAGGGCTCCGGACTCCTATAAGCAGCGCCGGGGCTTCCAAACATATAGGTTTGAGAAACCACCGAAAAAACTGTATCGGGAAGATGGAGGACCGATTCAATGTCAAGGCTGGGAGGTTAGGCAATGTCATTGTAGATTGGTCGCCCGGCATTTGATGAAATATTGGCTGAATGTGGCTGGAGTTACGGCTGAAAATGAGTTATATATGGAGTGGAGGGGCGAGGGGAGCAGTCATGGGGTGGCAATCCAGGCCCGTGCAGCCCTTACCGCCCCCACCCATCATTTATTTTATTTTGCCATGACAAAGAGCACACAGTCGAGCACATCTGCCTGCCTGGCCCCCCAAACGCCCCCCTACCCCGAAAAAAATGTTTGCTTCCATGCCTTTGCTGGTAAACGAACATTTGTGGACAATTTAAGAGACGGACGCTTCAGCTTGGTAAACACCTCGCTAAACGTATGGAAGTGGAGAACTTTGTTTTTTTTTTTCAATTTTCTGTTACCACTCTGTATATGACTGAAGCTCCCAAGTTTAAATGCATATAAATGCCTTATAAAGCGGATGGGAGAAAGACCGCCACCATAGCTCAATGGTAGAGCATCGGGTCCGTTATTCGAAGGACGCAGGTTCGGATCCTGCTGGTGCACGCTATCTTTTCGTGCGATTTTATTCTTTTTTCACACTTACATTACAATTACTTCTAATAACATCCCCTAAACTTTCTCTGGTATTATAGTTGGTTATTAGTTGACCTTTCTGCATTTCCTTCTACCTTACTTCATTGAATCTTAGCTCTCTATAATATTGTGTCTAATGAAGAAGACGAGCCCTTGTATTCACACTTTCCGTCTTTCAGATGTCGAGATATACATGACACCAAAGGATAACTTTTTTTATTTCGTAAAATAGACACAAACATTCATTTTATTCAAGTGGAATCAAACTTGCAGATACCAAAAAAATTCAGTGGATTCCACGCCTTGTCGAAATTGCTTTCATGTGAAGCCACCAGCAAGTATTTGTACTGCATTTTCAGTTTTCAGCGAATTGTTAGGAGGTAGTTGACGTCTTTTTGTAAAGCGCTATAGTTGTGAGCACACAGTGGGATTTCCAGGAAATGTTCCTTACACAATGTTTAAAGGGCGACTTATGGTCTGACGAAACTTCATTCCTCACGCTAAACCAACGACGTCAGTATTATCGAAGCGAAGGGCACTTCCCAATGTGATTATGTAAATTTCATACAAAACTTTTGTTAGCGTGTTCCCCCGCGGTAGATCTATGGTTGGATATAGCTTGCAGAATTATGGCAACACACATGTAATGTTTAATAGTCTGCTATAGAAGTACACTGTCTAGAAATGTACTAAGTAGTGTGCTGAGCACACATTCCGTACGAGAGAGGGTGGCCGCGCATGTGATGACTGCACTCAGATGCCACAAGCGGCGCTGCGTGTCGAGGGGGTGCAGAGAAGTGTGAAGGGCAAATAACATGGGAGGTAGGAAGGCTGCACTCGACGATAGATTACGCACTGATGTCACATAGGATGTATGATAAGCTCAGGGGAATGCACATAGATGAAGGTGGCTCCAGAAGTCTGGGTAGTGATCACAAACGTATCAAGCTAAGTTTTGGAAGTGCAGTGAAAGTGGGAAGGAGACAAGATGAGCAACTGCAGGAAAATTTTTATTCAGAAAGGCAAATTGAAATAGCCACTAAACAAATTGAGAAAGTAATCACAGAGGATAATAAAACAGTGTGGACATACACGAATCTAGTTAGACTGTTTGAGCTAGAGCTTGCTAAGGCACGTGACATGTCACCCCGGAAAAGAAGACACAAACCCAAAAGTTGGTGAGATGAGGAAGTTAAGAGAGGCATACAAAAATGTCAGGAAGCCTCTAGGGGACGCAGACATGCTAAGCAGCGGGGTGAACCGACAGATGATGTTAAAAGAAAATGGGAAATCTTTCTAAGCAGTAGAAGGCATGCATCCCTTCTGATCAATGAAAAGATTAGAAGAAAGGGAGCTGAGTGGCTGGCAGAAATACATAAAAACGATAGAAAGGCAGCTGCGAAATTTTGGAACCATCTAAGCTCTTTAATAAATGAGACGAGCCTAGAACAGAGGTTTATAACTACAGCTCAAGGTGCTAGACTAGAAGGGGACGAAGCTATTGAATATATAAAAACAAGGGTGACAGAAAAGTTTCAACAATGAAGAGCTTTATGCACCACAATAGACAAGGATGAATCAAGTCGCGCAACGGGTCCATTTTCACAACGAGAGTGGGAAAGGGCTGAGAAAAGGGTTCCTGGTAGTACGTCAACAGGCCCAGATGGCATTCCAATTGTGCTGATAAAGACATTAGGTCCGAAGTCTAAGCAGGCTTTGAGAGAGGCAGTGAACAAAATAATAATCGATGGAGAAGTTCCCGATGGATGGAAACTTAGCAGGATGAGCATGATCTATAAAGGAAAGGGGGACAAAGCTGACATAAACAACAACCGTCCTATTCAGTGACATCTGTGGTCTACAGGCTGGCGATGCAGATTATAAAGGAAAGACTGCAGGCATGGATAGAGGATGAGGGGGTGCTGGGGGAACTGCAGAATGGGTTTCGGAAACACAGGAGGTTGGAAGACAATCAGTTCTCACTGACGCAGTGCATCAAAATGAGAGAAAAGGAACACAAGCCCCCGCGGCTAGCATTTTTGGATATCAAGGGAGCGTACGATAGCGTGGTTAAAGAGGAATTGTGGGGAATACTGGATACACTAGGCGTGGAAGATGTAGTCACTAATCTTTTAAAGGGTATCTATAAAGGTAACAAGGTAGTTATAAAGTGGGGAAAACAGGTATCCAAGTCTGTAGAGGTAAAACGGGGGCTTAGGCAGGGGTGTCCTCTGTTACCCTTATTATTCATGATGTACCTACAAGGATTAGAGGCCAAATTAGAGGGAAGTGGACCGGGCTTCAACCTCTCTTTAGTCAAACAAGGAAAACTCATTGATCAGGCACTACCAGCATTGATGTACGCAGATGATATAGTGCTAATGGCCAACAACAAGGAAGATTTGCAGAGATTGATGGACATCTGCGGTAATGAGGGAGATAGGTTAGATTTTAGATTCAGTAAGGAAAAATCAGCAGGCATGATTTTCAATGACAACGAAGCTAGGGGGCTTAGAATACAGGAGGTCACGCTAGAGATAACAGATAAATACAAATATCTGGGCGTATGGATAAACTTCGGGACCGAGTATCTGAGGGAACATGAAATATACGTGACGACTAAAGGTAACAAGGATGCAGCAGTCACGAAAAATAGGGCACTGTGGAATTACAATAGGTATGATGTCGTGAGAGGAATATGGAAAGGGGTCATGGTTCTTGGGCTGATGTTCGGCAATGCCGTCTTGTGCATGAGATCAGAAGTTCAAGCAAGATTAGAAATTAAGCAAC